CCCCCCCCCCCCCCCTCACCTCCTCCCCCAAGGCCGACGTCAAGGTTCGAGCGAGCGACGAGGACTCCAGCACCTCGACCGTCGCCGACGGTGCTCACCGCTTTTGGTGTGAGGCGCGTCTGCGTTCCGCCGCCGCTGGAGGAGCAGGAGCAGCAGCAGCAGCGGAGCAGGCGACGACAACCACAGTGGCGATCGCGGCTACCCCGCTGCTCTTCGCGTTTGAGCTGGAGGTCCACTGCGCGGCGGAATGGGCCGGCGCAGCCGCGGCACGGGCCGCGGTTCAGGTGTGTGTCATCATCATATCCATACAATACATGGAATCATATCCATACAATGCATGGATATATCCGTGGATATTTTTTTCCAACGTTTTGGCATATCTAACCGTTGGTCGATACCTGTCTCTGTGTCCTGTGTGGCGAGAGAGTGGTCTATGCCCTGTAGATGGGAAGGGCGCTGCTCCATGCTTTGGTATTTTAAGGAGCGTCATTTGGCGTTCTGCTTCATGTGTGTCAACCCAAGCTCCGGATGTGCTGAATTGTGTCTTAACACCGAAGTCGGCATCCACCGATTGGGCTGAAGGTTGCTTCGAGCTCAAGTTTTGGAAATCACGTAACACACGTATTCGACAAGAAGACATGCCGCGCCAGCTACATGGACACCGATACTGCTGTCGAGATAAAGCCTGTGGATGCGGCACAGCAGTCGGGTCCGGTAATGTTGTGTCTCGTGCACGTAGCATGGCTGAGCACGCGCGTCCTTCCTTCTACAGAACGCGCCAGGTATACTCTTGGTTTCACCGAGTCTTGATCCTCATTCTCTCTGCGGAGACAAACCCAACATCGACCATGCACCGAGGGTCGTTGACCGAGCGCGTGTTTCTTGTGGTCAAGTTCCGATATTTTTTTTTATGTATGTTTTTCTGCCTCTTTGTTCTGGCGCCAATTCCTTGTGCGGTGGCGCGTGCTGCGTGCCGCAGGTGTGGGCGCGGTTCCAAGAGGGAGGCGACAGAGGCGCCTTCCACCGGCTGTGGGAAACGCTGCAGATGGACGTGCTCAGACAGAACAGGCGCTGGAGGAGGGAGATGACTAGGGAGGCTGCCGGAGGACGATGAGCAAAGAACCGAAAATCGGCCGGCGGCGGGAGGCGATACTGTAGGAAGTGACGGCATGATTTTCTGCGGCGGGTGTAGGGAACGGGCGGCGGGCGTTTCTCAGTTTGGTGGGTGTGCGCTGCTGTTGTGTTGTCACCTTTCGCCAGCACGTGACTGAGATATTTGGTTTTGGAATGGTGGTCGGCATTTGGTGAGTCGGAATGGCGACAAAGGCAGATTCTCGGCACAGACATGAGTCGAGGGCGCGTTGTCTTGAATGATGCACGTGCCAGACGGAGGATACCGCTGTGAAGTGGAAAGGCAACAAAGGCGGATTTCTCGGCACCGACATGAGTCGAGGGTGCGTTGTCCTGCATGATTCACAGTGCCAGACGAAGGATACCGCTGTGAAGTGGAAAGGCAACAAAGGCGGATTCTCGGCACAGACATGAGTCGAGGGTGCGTTGTCCTGCATGATTGAATACACGTGGCAGACCAGGGACAGCGGATTGGCGTCACCCTCCGCTAGATCTGTTGAAGTAGAGGCCTTCCGGCGAGAATACCCATTGTGCTCTTGTTTGATTGGTGAACCCATCGTCCTATGCCTGTATGATGGTGTGGAGGAGGAACGCGCCCGGCCGGCGAAACTAGACGACTACAAATAGAAGTATAGAAGTAGTACTTCTGAGGTGCTTCACTGGCTTCGTTTGCACGTAGGTCTGTCGGTGTTTACATGGATGCAGAGGCGAGTTGTTTCTGTTCGGCTCGTTGTGCTCGCAGTGCATCGAGATACGCATGCAGCTAGAACGGCAGAATGCAGTTATTGCGGAGAGTCGAACAAATGGTCGTCGAGCGATTGTAGGCTGAAAATGCCGTACTCGAAGAAGAGGGGTCCGGCACATGTTCCTGGGGGTGCGCATTACTCTGCGAATGCGAACTGCTTGAGCAAGTTGGCAGCCCCAGCCCCGGTGATCGATGACACACCTAACCCCAACATGACAAGTCTCTACACACTGACAATTCCGGCCACACAGCTCCGGCGATGTGGCTTGGGTATTGCACTGCTGGAGACCCACGTCACTCTGCTGGCGATGGGTCGGCTGGAATTAGACATGGTGGAGATTTTCCTCGAGGTACATGCATAGATGCATTGTACAATCCGGAACCTGTAATCAGTCGAGGGGCTGAATCCGGCATCTACCCACAACAAACAGCGGTGTTGGTGATGATCGCACGCTTCCTTGCTGGACACCTTGTTCCTCGGAGTATTCTCCGCATCTGAGACCAGTGAGACGAATCCCTCACCGCCAATCCCTTCGGTAGCGATAGATCCATTCGGCACCCGACCCCTTGAAGAGAAAACACTGCCTGGGGACAACTGACGGGGTAACATACATGGGGTGAAGTACACGCGGCCGCCCCTGTGGGCAACCTCCAAAACCTGCTGACGCAGGTTGGAAATGAATTCTCTCGCCGCGGATGGAGTGAAAAAAAAAAAAACTCTGCAGTTTGCGGTCGAAAACGACTATTCTGCAAGGGTACTATACACTCGAGTTCGCGGTCACGAGGGAAAGGGACGGCTGGTCCCTTCTCGCGATAACCACCACGACAGGCACCGCGAATGAGAAAAAGTGGGGCCTGCAAAAAAAATATATATATATAAAAAACTCCTGGGAGACCTTCTTGTGCGCCCCCGGCTGATACACATGAAACACGTGAAATACCGTACACCAAAAGGTGTGTCGACTGGCGCCAGACTACATGGGACAGACACATATGACACCGCTCCAGCACGACCAAGAAAACTGCCGCACACAACAACTTTCACCCAAACCACAAAAGACGTTCAAAACACAAAAGGACGTTTGTCGGCAGTCAAGCGCTTAAAACACATACAAACGAGACACCTTGTGAACTCCCACATACTGATCCTCGTGCACACTTGCAGTACTCCGAGGGAGCACTTTACTATTAATAAGAGAATATCAACGCAGGGAATATTAATTCATTTCAACTATCGCCCCGCATGAGCATTCCTTGCAAGCCCCACAAACCTTCCCCCCAAGAACATGTGTTCGATGAGCCGGCGGTTCGACCGCTTCCAAATAAACATTCCGCAATTGTCGTGTTCCGGGCCAACCGGCACGACTTCCACGTCTATCCGCAACATGCCGCTGCATCACCAACCACTGCGCCCTCCCCCCGATCTGAGCAAATCCGAGCTACGTTGCCAGGGGATCCAAGCGCTTGACGATTCCGCCTCAACAGGCTTGCGAAGTCAAAGAATGTACAAATCGCACAGTTGCACCTTCCATACGCGGAACAAATGGTGTCCGCAAACTGAAAAAAAAAAAGATATACGAGTACAAATTCGCCTGAAGAGGGTACAAATCTGGAAATTATCGACCTAACGTGACGCCCGCGGGCGGCAGCAACAGCTGGTGACGCCGCCGCTAGTCCGCCTTGGGGATGCACAGGCATGGGTACAGCAGTAGCACACAAGGAAAGCGAAGCGTACCCGCAAACCCCTCAACGGACAGCAAATCGATCGACTTCGGTCGTTGAACACCCAACGTACTCCGTCCCAGCCTGTCCACAGGGGCTGCAAGGGTCAAACGGAAGAATGCGAGGGCCAAAGCGCACGGTCCTTTTCCGGGTTGCACCTAAAGAGGGTGACGACGGCAGCTCACACGCTGCCGGCATCACAGCTCGAGGAGCCTGACGACGAGCCTGGCGTGGCCCTTCTTCATGCCGTACTGCAAGAGCTCTTCCTCACGGACGCCGCGCAACGCCTGATGCGCACGAGCCGTGTTTTTTGTTGCGGTAGAGACGGGAGCAAAGCATGACGGGGAGGGAGCAACACGTATCGGTTAGAGTGCGAACAGTGTGATCAACGCTGCAAGGCAGGATTGAGTTGAAACAGAGCATGGTTGATGTCAGAAGAATCTGTGGTGCTTCGTGCAGCCAAATTATGCACGCATTACTGTACTCTCCAAGCATTGAGCGCGCTCTCTAAACCTCGCTAAAACTTTCCACGGTACACATGATACATCAACTGAAATGCTGTCATAGAAAAAACAAATTACAGTAGCATGACTCAGGCAGGCTAACTGTTCTCACTAGCCGAGTGCATTTCTCATGCTTCCTCGTCGGGGTTGCCCAACCCCGCATGGTGTTTCCACCATTTCTGGCAAGCGTCCTTGGGGGGGGGTGTATCATAGCATGCGCCGCTCGAAAGATTTCAAGGCCCAAGGCTCTCTTGCATCGGACTCTCATAGAAACCCACGCACGCATACCTCTTCGCTGTCGAAACCGTCAGCGACAAGTCTGCCGGCGTACCGCGAGGCGTCCGGCTCCCTGATCTTCAGCCCCGAGAGCCACGTGGCGAGCCTCTGCACCACCACCGCCTCCCCGCCGTCCTCGGCACCATCGTTACCTCCGGTGCCGTTGGCAACAGCCGCGGAAGTGGTATGTTGGTCGCCGGTCTCGTCACCGAAATCAAGCAGGGAGGACCCTGCTCCTCCTGTTTCCCCCTGCGGCGATGACTGCTGGCGGGACCGGTCATCAACCCCCACCAACAACGAAGGAGCCGAAGCAGAGGCTTCAGCAGCATCGGGGTCGTCAACTCCCAGCAACAACGAAGGCGCACCAGCAGAAGCTTCGCTGCTGCCGGCAGCATCGGGACCGTCAGCTCCCAGCAACAAGGAAGGAGCGGAAGCCGCATCGCGGTTACCAGAATCACCATCAGCAGCATCGTCATCGACCCCGAGTAGCATCGAAGCTTCAGCAGCGCTTTGCTCAGAGGACGAATCGAGCTGCGCTTCCTCATCCAACGCCTCGTCGTCTTCTCCACAGAACGACCCTTCCTCCGAACCGCTAGATTCGGCTCCTTCCGTCCCTCCTGCAGGTTCCGGTTCGCCGCAAGCCGGTGCGCTTGTTCCAGCCGACGGCGATGGGCTCGTGGGGTGTGCCTCTTCTTCGCCGTCGTTACCGTCGAAATTCAGCAGAGAGGGTTCGGCTTCCCCCGTTGCTTGCTGGGATGGGTCGCCCTCGCCCAGCAACAACAGGGGCGGGGAAGCATCAGAATCGGCGCCCGGACTGTCAACCCCGAGCAACATCGAAGGCGCAGCAGCAGCGGCGGCGGCAGCAGCGGTGGACACCGGACACCCCTCCTCCTCCTCCTCGTCCTCCTCCTCCTCCCCTGTCGCCGAAACCTCCGCCAAGCCCCTTGCCCCCCCGGCCTCGGCGGCCTTGACGAGGTCGTCGCACTCCTTCAGCACGGCTTCCAGGGCGCGCTCGAGAGACGCTGCCTTCTGCCGGTGCATGTCGGCCTCCTCCTGGACCTCTCTCAGCCTGTTGGCCGTCGCCGCAACGATCGCCCGGGCCTCGTCCTCGTCCCGCCTGCCGTTTCGAGAGGTTGTTATGAGCTTCAGTTTATAGCGGCCATTGAGGAACATTGGGGCACGTACACGGAGAGCAAAACCACGGTTCCGACTGGCTTCGTTCTCTTGATGATTAGACGCGCGTGGGCATGCGCGCCCAGATGTAAAAAAAAAAAAACGCCAACTCGGTGGGGAAACAGTACAGAGGAGTGCCTCACAAACTCGTCACACGCTAAACATTGAAACAGAAAGAATAACACCGCCAGTTTGGGACGCACCTGATGATCCCACAACCCAACCCCCCCTGACAACACTTGTTTGTGAACGAGGTTCATGATGGGACTCCAAAAACTTCTGGAGTGCTTGGACTACTCGGAACGAGACGCACCTTTGGGCAGCGGCCGTCCACGCTCCCCTCCTGTGTCGGTCGCCGCCCCCGCCGCTCGCCCCCTTGCGAGCCGCCGCCTGCTGCCGCCGGTAGCGAGTCCACTGCGGGTCCTGCTTCTCCTCCTCCTCCTCCTCGCTCACGGTGCCCCCGCCGGTGATCTCGAACAAGACCTGACGGCCCCGATTAGTTCGAAATTGGGACGAGTACAACGCAAGATTGCAAAGCATGAGACTATTAGGGGGACTCCCGCGTCAAAAAAATACGTTGAGCTCGAGTTCTGCCCAGACCCAGCTGTTCTTAGAAATCTCCCCTCCCAACCCGACGCCCACGTGGCACGCACAAGCGTCTGGAAAACTGCACCGGAAGCAGCTACAGACAGCAGTGATGCGAGGATTGGGGCGCAGCCGCGGCGGCATGTCATTTGTTTCACGACGCGTGCCTTAGTCCATTTTCGAGTCCAAAGAAAATGCGACGAGGTTCGGTAGAAAACCACAACGTTTGGAGACAGGGGGCCTACTCAGCGCTATCACACAGTCGTGCCTTTTCAGACCAGAAGCCCCAGCATCTCTTGGAATCTCGAGGCGAAAATAGTAAAAATCTCGCCGGGTGGGCATGAATTACAACAGTCGCGGGTCGCCGCGAGGTCCCACGCAAGCGTCGCGCGGAAGTGACACAGGTACGGCAAGATGTTCTGTGCCGAGTTTTCAAGGGGCAACGGCTGGAAGCCTCGCGCAGATTCCTGTCCCGAAGCCCTACGAGCAGCGAGAGGAAAATCTCACAGGTGCGCAAAAATCCGCTGGGCGTTTCGAACAAACACGGCAACCGTAAAAACAGAAAAAAGGTGACAACCCAGCAACGTATACCTACCAGCCGCTGTGTTCACAGTAGGCTAGCCACAGCCGGTATACAAATGAACACAGTGTAACGTGCAGAAGACACGCACCTCCTTTTCGAAGGCCTTGCGCATGTCGGGCACCACCTCCGCGACCTGGAACGACCCGCTGGTGATCTCCCTGTCGAGGGTCAGGCCGTTCGCCCAGTCCACGGCGGCTGCCATTGACTTGAACAGCGCCACCTTGATCCGACGACACAGTTCCCGCCGAACGGAATCAACAACGCAGGCTAAGCTAGTTGTTGGTGCATGGTTGTGCTCAGCCCTCAGGGTGGCAGGACACGATCGTGGCACCGGACAAAGAATCCGCCCTCGCAAAAAACACACCCCGCTGAGGAGGAAATATGACAGCATCGCCGTCCTGGTCGGTACAGCACTAAAACAGCAAGCACCCACGGAACGACATTGCTGTCGCGAGCAGCAACGTGGCATGCGTGCATGAGTCGGCCCTTTTGTTGTGCGGTGTACAACAACGTGATGTCCAACAAGTAGGGTCTGCATCGCTATTAGCTCGGCCGCGTACCAGGAACCGAAGAAAAACAAAAGCAAGCAGCGTCGTGCTGTTCATGTGCTGCTAATGTGCGACCTTGAACGCGGCGCGCGCCGGGCGAAGTCAAATGTCAAAAGACCACCGGTCGCACGACCACGACCCTCCCCCCCCGAAGGTACGCCTCCCACTTCACAAAGAAACCCCTACCTTGCCGCTCCTTCTCTCCAGCATGCGTCCACTCTCGTTCATCACCACCCAACGGTTTCCCACGACCGCCGTCGCTCCTTTCTGCCCCCCCTCCCCGATTACCCTCTCCGCCTCGTCGTCGTCAACTCCCTCCGCCGCAGCAGCAGCGGCGTCGACGTCCCCGCCACTCGCATCGCCCCCCCCCCCCCCCCCCCCCCCCCCCCCCCCCCCCCCCCCCCCCCCCCCCCCCCCCCCCCCCCCCCCCCCCCCCCCCCCCCCCCCCCCCCCCCCCC